AGCAGCAGCAGCAGTGGCACAGACGGATTTGGTTCGCCAGCAGCAGTCCAGACTCCAGTTCCAGGCAGAAGGGTGAGATGTGAAATAGAGAAGGATAGAAGGGCGGCAATGAAAGGATTGAGGGATTTAGGGTTTGAGATTTGTAGGGAGGGCCAAAAGGGAAGGTGGAAGATGACTTAAGTGAGTGTGTGTGTGTGAGAGTCGAAGGGTGAGAGGCAGAGATAGTCACTATAGAAATGGAGAAACAAATAAAGTTGCCTAGGGTTAAAAGGATGCTTAGGGTTAAAAAGATTGGGTTGGGCTTTGATTGGGCTTTGGGGTGGGTTAAATTTTATTGAATTGGGTTGGGTTTTAAAATTATATTAAATTTAAAATGAAATTAGTTTATTATTTTTAATTTTTCGCAGGGATGGGGATCTCCGCGGGGCCCCACAAGGCGGAGAAAATTTCCTGTGAAATTTCACGAGGGGAAAATGCCCCCTGTCCCCGCCCAAAGGGAGGAATATTCCTTCCCGCCCTGTCCCCGTGGCGGGGATTCGCACAGGGCCCCACAGGGATCGAGGCAAATTGTCATCCCTATTCATGAACGTCAAAATTCATTCTTAAATGATTCCAACATACCATGCAAAATACTAGAAGTCCAGAACCCAATATTACATTCATTCCATCATCCAAGATTGAAGATTCCATTGACTAGACAAAGGTAATAGCAAAAAGTTACAGAACTTGCAATCATAGTTTTCTACTCATTAACAATCTAAAGCGATGGATGACTACACCAAGCTAATTACACTATCTATCAAATGACAATTATAAAGTATGCATCCACTATCAAGCTATCAACAAAAAAGAAATGAGATGCAACTTCCACTATGCATTTTGTCATTTGTGCATTTTTCTATAATGTAAGCAAAGGCATATGTGAATGTGAGGTTGTCCAAACAATTTAGCAACTTGAGCAAGCTAAAACTGTGCACAAGACTATGCAAATCTCCAAGTGAATGAAACTGTCCAAAAAAGTCAAGAAGCTTCATAACTTTGATTCTTTACGGCTACAATATTGGTGATTGATCTGTGATATACTAATATGAACAAAAAGATCCCCAAGAAACCTCACCATATATATATGAGAATCTATTTGTTGGACAAAAAAGAAAACAAATTATGAGGTTAATATAAGCAAAGGCATATGAATCTAGCAATTGCAAGAAAAATGTAATCTAGCAATTATAAGAAAAAATTAATATGTTGCCCATATGAATCTAGCAATCCAACAATTATAAAAATAAAACAATTTAGCAAATAAGAAAAAATTAATTTAGCAATTAAGAAAAATACAATCTAGCAATTAAGAAAAAAATCAATCCAGTAATTAAGAAAAAATCAATCCAGCAATTAAGAAAAAATCGATCTAGCAATTCTAAGAAAAAAACAATCCAACAATTAAGAGAAAAAACAATCTAGCAATTATAAGAAAAAAATAATATGCTGCCTAGTGCCTAGCTAATTCCAACATAATGAAGTTAGTTAAAAATGAGTGGGATTACTTTACCTATTATCGTAACACCAAAGACCAAACCTTTAAGCCATTCATTTTAGAATGGCAGAATCCATGTGGACTTTGTCAAAATCTACAAACAATAGACGAGCAGAGTCAATTCATGTTTAAAATGTTAAATGAAATAAAAGAAATTAGTATTACAAGATCATACCTTTCTTGAGACTGTCTAGAAGATCCAAGTCTTCCTCTTTAGAAACTATTCTCGACTTACTCCGCAACAAGTCTTGGGCACAAATAAGGACTTGTGCCATTCTTGGGGTTAAAGATGACCTAAAAGCATCAAGAACTCTCCCTCTCATGCTAAAAGCCGACTCAGAAGCAACAATTGAAATCAGAAAAGCTAGAACATCTCTAGCCATTGCTGCCAAGACAAGGAACCTTGAAGCATTCAACTTCCACCATCCAAGTAAGTCAAAATCATCACTATCATCCTTAACATCCTCTTCCAAATACTTATCCAACTCAGTTTTTTCGACACGAGCCCATTCTAAATTTTGAACCTCTTATAAGCAAACTTAAGTTGTTGTCTACTCTTATACCTGGGCTCACTCTCACTAAGGGCATCACTAACACTAGTAATACCCTCTTGAACTACAGTTTGATCTTGTCCACCACTAGAAATTGTTTTCTTATACTTAGCAAACAACCTCTTCAATTCAAAACAAACCATTTTACCATATTGCATTCCTTGCTCTTTACCATACACTTTCATCAATAAAAATTCAAAAAACCCTAATTTATTCCTAGGATCAAGGACTACTTCATGGAAAATGTTTTTGTTCATCTATGTAGGAGTACCCCAGTATTTGTGGAACATTACCCTCATTGATTTTACCATGTCTTTTACATCCACATCTTTCTCCCAAGATTTAAGCAAACAATCAACTTTAAAATTCAATTAAAAGTAAAAATTAATCGATGACATAATATGCCAGCATACACATATATATTTATTAACATATAATTAATTTTAAATCAAACTTAAAAGATGACAAGGCATTTGTAAGTTCAAGAGACAAACCTCACTAATTTTTGGGAAGAAAAGGTTGCTAGTAGTATATAAATTACTAGAAATCTTCTCAGTTAAGTAGTAGAAGTGCTCCAAGAACCGAACCACCCTTCTCACATTTTCCTAGTCAATACAGGATGGAAAACCAGGTGTATTTGGTCCATAATTCAGTTCAGTCTTCATATCTTTGTCACTTCTAGCATTTCTTTAAAAAAATAGAGCAAATTATTTACAATTCTTAAACAAAAATATAAATAAACTCAACTAAACTAAAAGAACCAAAACAAAACTTAAGACAATAAATTATACCTCTCAAATACCATCTCATATTTTTTGCAGTGTTCAACATCAAATACAATGAATTCCACCTCGTGGGAACATCCAAGTAAAGCCATTTTTTTGTTTTAATATCTTCAGACTCAACGGCATCTTTGAATCTTTTTAATCTTAATGGGCTTTGTCTTACATATTTTATAGTAACTCTAATAACAGTTATACTCTTGTGCATATCCTCCTCATTTATTCCATCATCAACCACAAGGTTGATACTATGAGTTGCACACCTCATGTGCAAATCTTGTGCACCCAAAATTGTTGTTCCCCCCTTGGTGAGAGTATTCTTAAGAACCCTAACAACTCCACCATTTGATGATGTATTGTCCATAGTCAATGAATATACCTCTTCAATGCTCCAGTCTTTCAAACACCTCTCTAAAAGGTCACTTAACTCTTCTCCCTTATGGCTCTCAACAAGACAAAAGTTTACGATTTTTTTGTGCAACTTCCCATTTCATCAATATAATGTGTAGTTAGACACATATAAGAAATTCTTTGAATTGAGGTCCATGTGTTACTAGTAAGTGAAACCCTTTAGCTAGATTCTTTGAAAAATGATTTAACCTTTCATCCATATAAATATTATAGCAATCTCTGGTTATTATCCTTTTAGATGGGATCTTAAAATTAAGGGGCAATGCAAGTTGATAGAACTTCCTAAACCCTTGCTTTTCAACAAAACTAAATGGAATTTCATCAACTATAATCAATTCAGCTAAAGCCCTCCTCACATACTCAAGGCTAAACCTCTAGGTGCCTAAATAAGGCATTTGGCTAACATTCTCAACATCACCACGACAATAACTAAGCATTGTTTGATTCCTTTTAGACCCAACATACTGACTACAATTCAGTAAATGAGTTTCATTGAGGAGGTCCCATTAGTTATACTATTACAAGCAA